TGTTGGGTATATAATGAAAAGGTTGTAAATTATATAAAGGAAGGAAACAATGTCTTTTGAACAGCTATCAATCTACATGTCTGTCCTTATTTTTAAAATACAGAACTAAAATGAATTAGAAACAACAATGCTCGTTAAACAGTCGTATCGATCATTTAGATAATCTTGTCATTGAGTTTTGTGAAGAACAACTGTTGGTCTAGAGTCAGAGTTCGAATAGAAGTTTATTTCTTAGGGGCATGATTACATCAGGGTGAGAAAAAAAATTACAAATAGATTCAAAGTAATAATACTTTTTAAAGCCAATTATAATGACTTATGAATGGAGATCAAATTACAGGTCACTGAGTTTAATTATATGCCATATATAATGCACATGTATTATATGCATTATATGTAACATAGTTTTCAGATATTTAGAGTCTCTGTCTCCTTTGTCTGTATCTCTTTACATGTGGAAAAACAGTTTATTTTATATCAGGGAAATGCAAATCAAAACCACAAGGAAATATCACCTTACACCTGTCAGAATGGCTATCATCAAAAAGAACACAAATAACAAGTTTTGGCAAGGATGTGGAAAAAAGGGAACTCTGTTACACTGTTGTTGGGAATGTAAATTGGTGCAGCCACTGTGGAAAACAGCATGGAGGTTTCTCAAAAAACTAAAAATACAACTGCCATATGACCCAGCAATTCCAATCATGGGTATATATCTGGAAAAAAATACCAAAAACACTAATGCAAAGAGATATATTTACCACAGTGTTCATAGCAGCATTATTTACAATTGCCAAGACTTGGAACCAACTTAAGTGTCCATCAACAGATGACTGCATAAAGAAGATGTGGGGTGGGTGTGTGTGTGTGTGTGTGTGTCTGTATAAAACATATATACAATGGAATACTTCACAGTGATAAAAAGAATGAAGTTTTGCCATTTGCAGCAACATGGATGGACTTGGAGGGCTTTATGCTAAGTGAAATAAGTCAGACAGAGAAAGATAAATACTGTATGATATCACTTATATGTGGAATCTAAAAAAAAAATACAACCACCTAGTGAATATAACAAAAAAGAAGCAGACTCAGATGTAGAGAACAAACTAGTGGTTATTGGTGGGGAGAGGGAATGGAAGAGGAGCAATATCAGAGTAGGGAGGGGATTAAGAGTATAAATTATTATGTATAAAATAAGCTGCAAGTATATATGTATAACATGGGGAATATAGCCAATATTTTATAGTAACTATAAATGGAATATAACCTTTAAAAATTATGAATCACTATCTTGTACACCTGTAATATGGTACATCAAATATACCTCAATTTAAAAAGTTTAAAAAAAAGAAAAACAGTTGATCTATTTTCGTTCATTTGAAAAGAATTACTTGAGGCCTACTATGCACTAGGTACTGTTCTAGCTAAAAAGGGTTATGGAAAACAAGACAGTCACTGTCCTCAACAAATTTCTATTTGAGGTAAAAACATATAAACAAATAAATATAGTATATAATATAATGGTAGGTAATAAGAAGTACTATGGATAAAAATAGAACCAGGTAAGAAGACAAAAAGATTGAGAACAGCATGTAAGAAGAGTGGATATTGTGTGGATAAGGTGGCCAGGCAATCACCTTATCTCCAAATAAGTCACAATATCCAGAATTCCAATTGATGAGTTAAATAAAGGAAGTCTCTTTAGAGGAAACCAGAAATTGCTATTTTGGTGGACTTTCATGTTTTGTAACATATTTAAATTTTGTATGTTTTATTCTATTTTTCTATTTTTTCCAGCTTTATTGTGGTGTGATTGATAAATAAAAATTTTATATGTTTAAGGTGTACAATGTAATGTTTTGATACATGTGTAATTTCTTTTATTTTTATTGAAGTATAGTCAGTTACACTTTCAGTTTCTGGTGTACAGTATAATGTTTCAGTCATACATATACATATATATATTTGTTTTCATGTTCTTCATTATAAGTTATTACAAGATGTTAAATATAGTTCCCTGTGTTATACAGAAGAAATTTGTTTTTTATCTATTTTATATATGTTAGTATTTTGCACATCTTGAACTCCCAATTTATCCCTTCCCACCCTCTTTTTCCCTGGTAACCATAAGTTTGTTTACTATATCTGTGAGTCTGTTTTTGTTTTAAAGATAAGTTCATTAGCATTTTCTTTTTTCTTTCTTTCTTTTTTTTTTTTAAGATTCCACATATGAGTGATACATGATACGTTTCTTTCAATACATGTGTAATTTCCAAGACCACCATCAAGGAGCTTGCCTCCTGGGTTTTCTTCTAGGAGTTTTATAGGCTCATCTCTTACATTTAAATATTCAGTCCATTTTGAGTTGAGTTTTGTGTTTAGTGTAAGATAAGGATCGGTTTGATTCTTTTGCATGTGAATATCCAATTTTCCAAACACCATTTATTGAAAAGGCTATCCTTTCCCCATTGTGTATTCTTGGCACCTTGTCAAAAATTAGTTGATTGTATTTGTATAGATTTATTTCTGGACTCTTGATTGTTTTCCATTGATTTATTAATCTGTTTTTATGCTACTATCATGCTATTTTGGTTACTGTAGCTTTGTAATATAGTTTGAAGTTAGGAAGTGTGATACCTCCAGCTTTATTCTTCTTTCTCAGGATTTCTTTGGTGATTTGGGGATCTTTTGTGGTTCTATAACAGTTTTAAGGTTGTTTTTTTCTATTTCTGTGAAAAATGCCAGTGGAATTTTGATAGAGATTTCATTGAATCTGTAGATTGCTTTTGGTAAAATGAATACATTGATACTATTTATTCTTCCAATTCATGAACATGGGATGTCTTTCCACTTATTTATGTCTTTTTCATATTCTTTGATCACTGTTTTACAGTTTTCAGTGTATAGTTCTTTTACCTCCTTGGTTAAGTTTATTCCTAAGTATTGTATTGTTTTTATGCTATTGTAAATGGGGTTGTTTTCTTCATGTCTTTTTTGGTTAGTTCACTGTTAGAAACACAGTTGATTTCTGCATGTTAATATTGTATTCTACAACGTTACTATATTTGTTTATTAAGTTCTAATAGTTTTTGATGGGCGCTTCAGGATTTTCTATAAAGAAGGTTGTATCATCTGCAAACAGAGAGTTTTACTTCTGCCTTTCTTTCTTTCTTTTTTTTTTTTTTACTTCTGTCTTTCTGATATGGATGCCTTTTATTTTATTTTTTTGCCTAATTGCTCTGGCTAGGACTACCAGTACTATGTTGAATAGAAATGGCAAGAGTGGACATTCTTATTTTGTTCCTGATCTTAGAGGAAAAGCTTTCAGCTGTTCACTGCTGAGTATGATGTTAACTGTGGACTTGTCATATATGGCCTTTATACCTAATTTGTTGAGAGTTTTTATCATGAAAAATGTTGAATTTTGTCAAAAGCTTTTTCTCATCTACTGAGATGATCATGATTTTTATCCTTCATTTTTTAATGTGTAGTGTATTACATTGATTGATTTGCATATGTTGAACCATCATAGCATCCTAGGGATAAAACTCACTTCATCATAGTTTATGATCTTTATTATACTGTTGAATTTGGTTTGTTAGTATTTTGTTGAGGATTTTTGCATCTATGTTCATCAGGGATTTTGGCCTGTAATTCTCTTTTCTTGCAGTGTCCTTGTTTAAGTTGGTATCAGGGTAATAATGGTGGGTATGTAAAGTGAGTTTGGAAAGGTCCCTCCTCTTCAAATTTTGGAAGAGTTCAGGAAGGATTAGTATTAATTTTTCTTTTAATGTTTGGTAAAATTTACTAGTAAAGCCATCTGGACCTGGACATTTCTTTGTTAGGAGATTTTTGATTACTGATTCCATCTCCTCATTTGTTCTTTTTTTGTTTTTAAAGAAAATCAGAGATTGGATCACAAACGTTGGAAGTAATGTGTTGAAACTGAAAATAGATGAGGGACGACAAGATCAATTGATCTTATATTTCTAAGGCACAAATACAATATCATCATCATTTTAAATATTATTATTAGCTATAAGTTAAATATCAGATGTTTGAGAATAATGACTAAAAGGACAGACTCTGCTCAAAGATACTTGGGTTCACCTTGTAGATATACAGCTTCCAAGTGCGGCAGATTATTTTTACTTTGCCACGTCTCAGTTTCGTTATCCATAAAACAGATATTACAGTAACAGTGCTTATTTTACAAGCTTGTTTTCAGGATTAAATATGCATCAAAGAGCCTGATACTATTTTTCACTGGAAAAATTAAGGAATTTATAATAATGTTTTACCACATTTTTTCTCCTTTTCATTTTGCATAATGTAAGCAGTTATGAGATATAGATCCTTTTCAAATTACAATGCAAATGAATTAAAGGTAAATACTGTATTTTATTAGCATAATTCTCATTTATGTCCACTCACTAAACTAAATATACAGCCATCATCCACTTCTTCTTTCCTAATTAGGGAAATGTTGAAATGGGTAAGGTAAATTTTTCCTATTGTAGATTTTAAAAGGCATTATAATATATAATCTCTGGTTTATGTTGAAAGGTCAGAAAAAGTCCAATTTCTGATCCTTTGTATGTGATCTAGTTTTTTCACCCATCCCTCCTCTCTGGGAGCTTGTAGTATATTCACTTTTTCCCAGTGTTTTTAAATTTCCTGGTGATGTCCCTTTGGTGAGGGCCTGTTTTAATCTATTGTGCTAGATAGTTGGTGAGTCCTTTCAATCTGGAAATCCATCTGGAAAGTTCTCCTGAATTTTATTTTTGATGATTTTCTCTCCTGTGTTTTCTCCCTTCTCTTTTCCTGGAACTCTAACACTGTTAGTCATGTTGAATAGTAGAATTCTTGGCTTGATCTGCTTTTCTTATCTTTTCCTCTCATTTTTCATTTCCATCTTTTGCTTTACATTTGGGAAAGTTTTCTCAATTTTGTCTTCCAAAATTTTAATCTAGCTTTTTTATTTCATTTTCATTGCCCAGATATGTACCATCCAATCTCCTGACTGGAACGTCAAAGTCTGGCTGCTGGCATTCTGGAGTTGATGGTGGGGAGATTAGTGATCTCAGCATTCAGTAAGTGAATTTTCTTTTAATTCCTCTATTTCCTGTATATTGCCTGTACCTTCTCACTGTGCCTGGTGTTCATTTCGTGGTCCTGCAAGTTCCATCTCTATGCTTCTCTACCCTACTTTAGGAGTCTGACCTCTGTGGCTAGTATCAGTCAGGATAGGATTTGGCCAGTGGGAGGGAAGTGACTATATTTCGGTATTAAAGGGAACAGGGTGGCCCTTCTGTACAACCACTAGTCTTCCTAGGTTCTAGGTAATGGATCTCTCCCCTTGACGTTTCAGTCCTGCTGCTGGCAGCCACCTCGTGCTCTTGCTAGGCCAAGTACTCCCCCCTTCCATGGATGTTAATTTCCCTTTGTTGAATTAAACATAACAGAGATACTTTGAGTCATGTATAAAGTGAAAATACAGTTACAACCTGCATCAAAATAATGAGATATATGAGCATAGAACTTGCAAAGTATGTTAGCAGGTGTTTGGGGATAATTATTCATAAAGAAAAATTTATTTCTTTACATAGAATTCATCACAGAAAACATGAGCTTATTTTAAGTGCATTTAAAATAAGATTTCTCTCATTAAAATTTAGTTTATGCACAACTTTGTACAGTATATCAACTGATTAAAGAAGTGAGGAAACTGAGAACAAAGAGAATTAATGACAGTGGTAAAATTAAAGGGAAAATTTTCAAATTTTCTGTGAGGGCCAACAGGTTTTGAATACTGCCATGGAAAAACATATGCTGTCTAATGACTGTAGTTCTATCATTTTGGTTTAGAAATTATACTCTTGAATCCTTAGCCCAAGTAAGTGATTAGAGTCGCATGAGAATGGATCGATGAGAATGCAGTTTTATAACTCTAGGGCATGGCTAAAATCTAATGTGGCAAGCACTGGAAAAACACAGCTTCTTTTACTTTTAAGGCTCTTCAGTTTGTCATTACTGATTGAGGGTTGTCTGGATTGGCTCTCCTGGTCACTCAAATTATCCCAAGAGCTATGTCATTACTGGCAGATGCTCACATGAGATGAGAATGTGTTCTATTCCTATGCATTATGGACATTTCAGCTTTGCTTTGGGTGGGGCTATCGGACTCTACACTGTATCACTAACTGTATCTTCAGTAACATATCTCAGAAGCCACATGTCAATTGAGTCGTAGAAAAAGGAATTTTTAAATGAAGAAGTGTGGCTTAAACATAATTTCTGTCATCTGCCAAGGACATTATCATTTCTTAATCATTGCATGAGCCACATTTTGTATAGTGATTAAATTCGAACTAGCTAAAAGTTTCAATCTGTTGAAAAGTTGTGTAGTAAAGCACTTATTCTCTTAAGTGAAAGATGTTAATAGGAAAAAATCTCCATAACTACTGGCATAGGAGAAATACAATAGCAGTTAATCTTAGAAATTTTGCTGATGGTGAATTTTTGTATTCACAATGTCTGCTAAAACCTTGTTACCCAAGATGTGGTCTGCAGACCAGCAGCTTGGACATCGCCTGGGAAACTGTTAGAAATTCAGACTCTCTATACCCATCCTAGACCTACTGAATCAGAATCTGTGTCTTGAACAAGACCTTCAAGGGGTTCATGTGCCTGTTAAAATTTGAGAAGCCTGATACTAAAGGCCAGTTTGGCAGTCATTGAAACTATGCTGATCCTTCTCAACTGGCTCAGGAAGTTCATATTTTCCAATGGTAGCAGTGCTTTCAAAAGTGACATCCCACAGCACAGAGTATTTTTTTTGCTCTTAATCCAAAGATTACATGGTTGATTTTTAACTAAAATATTAAGGAACATGCACTAAGAAGGGATTGTATGATATCATGGTAGATGATGTTATGATTTTGAAAATGTATAATTAGAATTCTTATATGAACAACTTTCTAAATGAGAAAAATTCTTCCCTCCCTAATATTCCCTCAGATCAATACATCTGTGTTGTATTTGTAATATTGAATTTTTTTCTCTTGGTCAAGCCCAAGCTCTCCAATTCCCCAGAAAGCACAGGAGATCACATTTAAGGGCTGAGAGTTTCAAATAAACTGTGTCTCTTTTCACAAATCTCTAATGTGAAGTGTTTGGAATAATTAATCTAATTTGCATTGCATTTACAAACAACTGATAACACCTTTTAAACATGCTATAGAAAAATTAATTGGGGATTTTGTAAAGAATAGTTTTTCGTTATTATGTTTTTCCTTTATTTGAAATCCCTGATCACCTAAAATTAACTAGAGCAGTGTAACTCTATAAGTAGCAAGGTCCCCTGTAACCTGGACCTCCTGTACTTCTTCTTTGCTTCAACAAACGTGCATTGGTTATCTACTGTGTGCCATGAACGAGAGTGCAAAGACTAAATCTCCACCTTAGAATTGCTCACAATCTCATGGGGGAAAAGGTCAAGAACAGCGTTGCAATGCTGAATTATAAATGCTATAAAAGTGTTGGCAACACATGATGGAAAGTAGAGAAGGGGTTAATTCAGTCTTGGGAATCAGACTGATTCTAAAAGAGATGAGTGCTTTTGGCATCTTAGTGTGTGATTTATGATACAAATATGCACAAATGTTGGCTTGTGCTTTCAAAGAAGGTGGTTGAATGAATCTTTAAGTGGAGCCAAGCCTAATTTTGGCAGGTTTGATTAAACTGAACTTTGTCCAAAATGTAACCTGATGGACAGGATTAGAATGAGATGACCTCTGCTAACATAGTAAAACAAAAGTAAATTGTCTCCTTCATGAATCTGAATGATTAGCATTAAAATACTCACTCTATCCTGAGCAGTTGTAGTATTTGCTGCAGTGGAGATAGCCGGGCACTAGTGGGATAATCATAATGATAACAGCTGACATGTACAGTTTACAAAGTGCCTTCATACTCATTATCTCATTTAATTTTTTAATAACAACAACCCCATGAGGTAGGTGTCATTTGCATTTCTTAGTTGAACAAAAATTATCAAAGTAAGTGGCAGAACCTTGATGAGAAACCAAGTCTTTAAAACCCCAAGATTAATACTCTTTCTTGTGGAACTAGAACTTCCAAACCTCAGTAGAAATCTATCTTCATTCCAGATACTACACAGAAACTTCTCTCTTGGCCTGGGGGAGCTTCACTAACAAGGGTTTCTGAAAGGCTGGCGTTGAAAGCTGGGCTTTTCCTCTAAAATAGAAACCGTATTTCCCCTGCCAAACCCTGTCCTCCTTCCATAGCCTTTGTCTCAGAGTATCCAGCACAATATGGTGATTGAAAGTGGGGGATAAAGGCAGAGTGGAATTGAAAATTACTGCAAAGTTTTTAACTTGAACATTGGACAATGGTGGAGACTTTCAGGGAGATGAAGATAACATAGAGGGTTGGATTTGGGGTGCAGACCAAGCCATAATTCTGTGAAATTGGGGAATATGGGCCAACTTAAATAGTTTGTCATCAGTAAATGATTGGACATAGCACCAGGTATCTTGAGTAAGTGGCTTTTCTGGAGCTGAGAGTTTTGGGTTATGGTTGGATATTGTCCATCTCACTTGGAGGAAGGCCTGACCAGTGCCTGGAACACAAGCACAATTGGAGAGATAGGCAAGGGTCAGAGAACATGTCAGCTTTTCAACTGACACTCTGATCGATGCAAGGAGATTGAAAGGCAAATCAGAAAACCAAGGCAGAGGCCCAGTCAGGTGGCCTGGGCTAACATGTCAAGGTCAGGGACAAAACTTCAGGTCAATGATATATAGGAATCCCATTTTTTAGGCAGAACCCAGAGCAAAGTATGTGTTCTAAATGGAAAATCCCTCCCAGATATGTCAGGCTTATGATAAAATAATATTCTTTCAATGTTCTTAATGTTAGGTAAGAGTTTCTGAAACACTGGCATCATTTAGGACTGACTCAAAAATCATCAGGCCTAAATCTACAGGTTTGGGTAAGGCTGGGGAAGGTGTAATTTGCTCTATCTGATATGAATGAATTAGCACACATATTAAAATAAATACAATTTATATCTTGTATCAGATCACTAGAAGTATAATCCAGTGGCAAAAATCAAATTCATCAGATTTAATATAAAATCCTATAATGGTATTTGTAGTTGACAGAATAATAGTTCCTCAAAGATGTCCATGTCCTAATCTCTAGAACATCTGAATATGTACCCTGCATGGCAAAATGGACAGGGAAGATGTGATTAAGGCTAAAAACACCTTGGGATGAGGAGATTATCCTGGATTATCTACATGAGCCCAATCTGATCACATAAGTCCTTAAAATCAGAGGAATCCCCCCATCCCACCCGCCCTGCTATAGGTAGAGAGAAAGAGGGCAGCAGGAGAATGACTTAATGACCCATTGCTGATTTTGAGATCTAAGGATCTGCGTTTAAGGAACTGAATTTTGCCAAGAACCATAGGAAAGAGATCCTATGGAAAGCAACACAGCCATGCCAATGCTTTCATTTTAGTCTGACGAGTCTTGTGTTGGACTTCTGATCTACAGAAGAGTAAGATAATACATTTGTGTTGTTTTAACACACAGTATTTGTGGTAATTTGTTATGGAGGCAATAGAAAATTAGTACAGACTCGCTGTATGATTTGGGGATTTAGAGATTTTTAAACCTCTCATCGGCTGTGATTTTCTATGTTTTGTTCACTGATACATAACAAGTGCTTGTAACCTGGGAAATAGTAGACACTCAATAAACATTAGTTGAATTAATTTATTTATTGGTCCTTCCACCAACAAATATTTATTGAGTGTGTATGAATACATGGCTTCGTGCTAGATGTTGCGTCTAGATGTAAAGATATAAAAGACTTTTTTTCCATAAAATCTGAATCAAGAAGTTTGGATCAGTCTTCAGTAATCAGGGTCAAAAAAAGTATTGTCTGCAGGCCAAATCTGGCCCACTGTGTTTTTTGTAAATAAAGTTTTACGAAAAAAAGCTATGCTTATTATGTAGTATCTGTGGCTACTTTTGTGATAAACCTGCAGAGATGAGTAATT